TACGTACGCATGAGTTGACGAGAGTCCATATGAAGCTACTAATTGTGCTTAAGTCGGGGTAGTCTAGGACCCAAATCATGTTATACTTGTGATGTTTACACCCTACTTGATAATTTAATTGCTTAAACATATTGGAACTTGATAAAGAAATTGTTAAAGGTTAAACTTCATTTACTTGAGTTTTGGACGAGTCACTTGACCGTTAATGAGAATTGATATTTCTTTGAATATTAACCCTTAATAAATATTGAAATGATTATTTTAATGTATTTTTCTCTTTTTGTGGAGGGGGCCGAACGCCTCGGTAGCATATAGATGTATCTATGGTTGGTGTCGTTTGACCCTCGGCAGTGCACAATTTAAATATTATATGTTTGATCAGGTCGTACGACTTCGACATGATTTGCGCATGATAAATTTTTGGAACTAATAATAATTGATATTGCTTCATTGGCTTGAGATATAAATTGTTAAATGACGAAAATAAATTTGCAAATTTCCTATTAATAAAAAAATTGTTTACTTAGTTCTTGTTAATGAATTTTCAGTTGTTTATTACAATCCATGCTTAATTATAATATCGGAATTTTATTGTTAGCCCATAGTAAGTGTCGGAGTCGATCCTTCATCACTACTTCTTCGAAGTTAGACTAGATACTTACTGAGTACGCGTCGATTTACATACTCATACTACACTTGCTGCACATTTTGTGCAGGTACATATATATATCTAGTGGTCTTGTAAGCGCAAAGGCGCGGTTATTGCGGGGACTTACGTGAGCTACATCCCATGTTACGAGTCCAAGCACACAGAGTCTCCATCAGCGTTATTTACACTTTCCTGTCTAATTTGTATTCCAGACAGATGTTATATTTTACCATATTTCCTAGTTGATGCTCATGCATTTGTAACACTGGATTTTGGGATGCGTATGGGTTATTCATTGTTGTAGTTGTGGAAAATATTTTTTTTTACTCTGTAAATTCTATTTTCGTATTATTTGATTAATGAAAACTATGGTTTCAAAGAAACTAAAATGAGTAAATAAGTTAATCATTTATTGTTGGCTTGCCTGACGGTGGTGTTAGGCGTCATCGCGACCATAATGGATTTTGGGTCGTGACACCAGGCATCCCTTCTTCGTGAACACGGACATACCCTCGCGTTCGCAAAACATAAAATTTTCCTTCAGTCCAAAGCCTTCTTCGCGAACGCAGAAACTCACACCGCCGGACCATATGCGAACGCGTGACCCTTATCGCGAAACCGTAGGCTAAGTGTCTGGGATCTCCTCTGCCTGTTCCTCTACGCGAACGCAAAGAGAAAAACTCATCCGGCCTTTTAGATACCATACGCGAATGCGAGACCTCTCTCGCGAACGCGATGAAGGAAACCAGCAATTGATGCACCAGATTTTTTCTGCAATTCCAACAAGTCCAAAACTTGTCCGTTAACCACCCGGAATCCACTCGAGGCCCCGGAACCTTAACCAAACATACCAACAAGTCCTAAAACATCATACGAACTTAGTCGATCCTTCAAATCACATCAAACAACGCTAAAACATGAATCACCCTCCAATCTCCAAACTTAATGAACTTTGAAATTTCAAACTTCCACAACCGATGCTGAAACCTATCAAAGCACGTCCGATTGACCTTAAACACACAAGTCATATTCGGCATTACAGATCTGCATAACTACTCTTCTTCTTCTTCGAGTTTCAATTTGAAATTCAGCCAAAATCAAGTCTAATCTTCACCTAAACACACTCAAAATTGAGATATAAACGCAAAACAATATTTTCAATTGTTTGCAACAATACCCAATCCAAACAAATAATTTGAAAATCCAAATTCGAATTCAAAGCTTCAAACTTTTTAATGGCTGTCAATGGTGGAGAGTCAAATACCTTCAAAATTTATTGATTGAGAATATTAATTTAAACACCAATTGTGCAACATGAAAGGAAATTGCTAAGTTAAAACGAATGAAATCCATTGATAAATTCCATTAAAACTCTATACAACAAGAAAGCATAAAAAAACAGAGAACATCAAATGAAGAAAATTTGGGGAAAAAAGAGAAGGAGAGTAGAGAGAGAGAGAGAGAGAGAGAGTGAGCAAGTATAAGAGGATAAGAATATAACTAATACTCCTTATTCAATTCCTAATATAAAGGGATACTCATTTAAAACTTATTTTGTATATAATTGGTAAATTGTATATGACCATGTAATTATATTGAAATTTGAGTAGGGTAATAAGGCTTCAAATAGTGTATAGGAAGGTAAAAATCCCTATATAAAATGTCCCAAAAATTTGAACTGAAAAACTAAAATTCAGGACTCATTGGCTAATTCTCAAATAGCAGACCTTTAGAGTGGCTATCTGATGTCATTTCTACATTATTTTTTGGAACTTTTCCTATAAATACAAAATTTTAAACTTATTTACTTGATTTATCTTAATTTTTTTATTTACATAAAGTAACTAAAGTGTGTTACAAAATATATACAAGTTCTGTCAAAATCTATAATTAGCTGAAAATAATTTTTTATACAGAATTCCGGTCTTGTTTCTATGAGATAACAAACCATGGAATCCACGTCATTCCCACATGTGCTATAAGCCTCAATTACTTGTGGATAGCTGAAACCCATCGCAGCATAAATTTGGATTCATCTACTGAAGGCATAAACTTAGGGGTGTTCAGACCAAATCGAAAAATCGCACCAAACCGAAAAATCAAACCAAATCAATTAAAAATTCAATTAGGTTCGGTTTGACTTAATTTGGTATTGAGTAAAAAAAACTCGAACCAAACCAACATATAAATATATAAATTTTATTTATATTTTTAAGACTTTGTAGTGATTTTCTTTAGAAAATATGGAAATATTTGGGATCCTCTCATGTATTAACCTTGAAAACGTAAATTAACGAAAAATTATTGTTAGACGACTAAGAAAATAACTATCACGTGTTACTAAAAAAAATTTCTCATTAGAATATTTTAATAGATCATATGTTTGTCAATTTTTTTCATATTTACTAAACATATATTCATTTACCAAAACTTTGTCTATAATTTTAACAAAGTAAGATTAAAATAATATTTATGTAACAAAAAAACCCGAAAAATCTGATAAAACCAGATCAATCCAAACCAATATAGTTATTTTGATTTAATTTTAATAAAAACCAAACCAACCCGTCATACGTATAATCTGGCAAGCAAAGCTCCGTACCTTCATGTAGTCTTCTCCACTACAAGAGCTCGAATTTGAGCGCAACCGAAATGGAATCTGAGGCCCTTCTACACCGAAAGCGGAGCAAACTAACCATTCTCAATTTCCATCAACTTCAATGCAAGAATCGAGCTTAAAAATCCCTATTCTGCCAGCAGAGCTCATCACTGAAATACTGTTAAAGCTACCAGTCAAATCTCTTTTACAATTCAGGTGTGCTTCAAAATCTTGGCTTTCCTTAATCTCTACTCCTGAATTTATCAAGGCTCATCTCAGCATGTCTGCTAATAACAAGGATTACACCCACCATAGGCTTATCTTTGTTCAACATGACTACAATGTTGAGCTCAAGGGACGTATCTGTACTTATCTTAAGGACTGTACCCTTAGTAATGTACTTGATGACTCTGTTATTGGGGCATTTGACTTGGATTATCCTATGAAAAACCCCCATAAATCTGTTGAGATTGTGGGTTCTGTAAATGGGTTGATTTGTCCTACTATTGAGCAAGAAGACTTGTTTCTCTGGAATCCATCAATTAGGAAGTTCAAGAAATTGCCTGATTTTACAGCTAAATTGAGGCTTGGTTACTGTATCATGTATGGTATTGGATATGATGAGGTTCATGATGATTATAAGCTAGTGTGTGTTTTCCGAAATTCGAGTTATAACATTTCACATTATGTTGAGGTCAATGTTTATAGTCTAAATAGTGATTCGTGGACAAGTATCAATGATTTTCATAGTGGGGAGCAATTAATTAGGTGGGGTATGTTTATGAATGGGAAGCTTCATTGGGCTAGTAGTACCTCTCATGATTTTCATTCCTATTGTGGTTGGGATATCAGTTACATTGATTTGGCTCATGGGAAATGGGGAAAAATGGATACACCCTGCTATGGAGAAGGAGACTTTGAATTTTTGCCGTGCTTGGGAGTCTTGGGAAGTGATCTTTCTGTGTTTTGTAATAGTCGGAAGACTTACACAGATGTATGGGTTATGAAGGAGTATGGGGTTAAAGAATCTTGGACAGATGTTTACCATCAATTATCATGTTGATCGTGTGGGGAATATGCTCGTTCCACCCTTTTGCATGTCAAGTGAAGGTAGAATTTTGTTTGAGGATGGATCAACTTTCATGATTTATAATCCAAAGGATGACTCGATCAGATATCAAGAGGTTACCAACTGTGATTCCTTTTACTGGTCAAACATCTACATCGAAAGCCTAGTTTGACCCAATTTTACTGAATAAAGTAATGATGCAACAACAAGGCAGGCTGAAAAGTTTCAGATGAAGACAATTAGTAAGAGCTCTCTAAACATTTTTCTCAACTGCTGTTACATTTTGTTTTTATTCTCAAATATAGCACAAAACGTTGCATATTATGGATATCTTTGAACTAATACATGCTTGGAGATTTTGTTAGTCTTTTTTCCCTTTTGCTTCACCAAACAACAATATTTTGCAAGAACAGTTATTTGCTTGAGGTCTTTGGTGTCCTCACCGTCAAACTTAATGACACTCAACACTATTTCGCTTCTGGAGCAGTACTTTAAGTGGGATATTGTGCCCCTAGACAGAGTAAGAATAAGGAGCACTGATAAGTAGGATTTTAACATGTTTTATACCCATACTTGCCTGTGCTTTGAGTGTAATTTGCTACAAAATAGTCCCAAAATGCTTACAGATTGCGCTTGATTGCAGGTTTGAGCTATAAAGTGACAAATCGTCAAAGATCGGCTCAAATCGGAGTGAAACCTGCTCAAGTCAAAGATCATTAAAGTAAGGACATTCAGAACTTCATGCGGACCGCACCATCAGGTCATGCAGCCGCACCATAGGAGTTCAGAGACTAAAACTACAAGTCAAGCTCATGCGGCCGCATCCCACTTCATGCAGCCCGCGTCCCACTCATGCGGCCGCACAATCTTGCTATGCGGTCGCGTTCAAGAAGTTCAGAGAAGATGCCAAACTCTTCATGCGGCCGCACAACAACTTTGTGCGGTCCGCGCCAGTCTTCATGCGGCCACATTCCATCTTTGTGCGGTCCGCATCACCATCTTCAGAGAGCAAGATTTAGAGGTCAAGCAACCCAGTGCGGCCGCGTGACAACTTTGTGCGGTCCGCACTAACCTCGTAGGGGAATTTTTGTCCAGTTTTTCCAGCCCACTATAAATAGAATATTTACCATTTTTAGGAGGAGGGGGGTACATCTGATAGCTGCTGCACTCGTGAGACTTATGTTTTGGCCTATCTTGGGCATTTTTAGCTTAGTTTCGTCATAGATTATTGTAGTTTAACATTAGCAATTAATTAATATGGTTGTTTCATCTTCTATTTCTTCATTTTCTTCTTTAATTATGTCTAGCTAAACCCATTAGCTAGGGTTGTGGCTCAACCCTAGTGTGGGTAATTAATAGGTGTAGCTTCTTAATGATAAATTGATATTGAGTTTTTGTTATTTGGATTAAGTTTATGGTTTAATTAAGGATTGTTGGTTGCAAACATTGATTCTAGCTTGGTGGGTCTTGACTCTTCTTGAGAAAGAGAGTCTATGACCCCAAAATTGACCCAACAAGGAATTGGGTTGGACCCATGAGAAATGGTAGTCCAAATTAACGGGTTAAACCTCGAGAGAGTAATCAACCTACTTGAACCCTAGTTGCTTGGTCTAATTGGCCTACCCAATTGGTCTCGAGAGAGTCAATTGGGAAAAATCGCTCTCTCTTCCGAGAGGTGTGAGAGTGGGTATAATTGTGCAACTGTTATAACATTGATCCCAAATATGTCAATCTATTATTAGTAGTCTCTACCCGTTAGTTAACCACCTAGGTGATGTCACGACCCTAGTGCCTTTCTCTATATTAATCACAACTTAGAACATCTCTCTTTAGTAAATTAGCCTAAATTTGTAGTTGATAATAGTAGTTATTAAACAAAAACCCCAAAAATTTTTAGAAGTACAATTAGGAGCAAACAAGCATTCCTAGTCTAAAAAAATACGCAACTCCATTCCAAGCTCCCTGTGGAAATTTACCCCGATACCACTATTCTGGCNAATGAAGCGGCCTTTGGGGATTATTGATGATGTCCTTGTTCATGTTGATAAGTTCATATTACCGACTGATTTCGTTATTTTGGATTGTGAGGTCGATTTTGAGGTGCCAATTATACTTGGAAGACCTTTCCTAGCTACTGGGAAGGCTTTGGTAGATGTCGAGGCAGGAGAGTTGACCTTCCGAGTTGGTGATGAAAAGGTGGTGTTCCATGTGTGCAAATCTATGAGGCAACCGAATAGCACCGAGGTGTGCTCGTTTATTGACATTGTCACGGTGGTGATAGTGGATGACCCAAGCGCAATGGTGAATGTTGAGGACTCACTTGAAGTCGTGCTCTTGAACATGGATGTTGATGATGATGCTGGGAGAGTTGAATGTGTAAACGCTTTGCATGGTATGGGCTCGTATTCTTATGAGCCTAGGAAGTTATCCTTGGATCTTGAGAATCGCAAAACTCCCCCAACCAAGCCATCTATTGAGGAGCCGCCGGTGTTGGAGTTGAAACCACTTCCTTCTCACCTCAGGTATGAATACTTGGACCCTAATTTTGCTTTGCATGTTATTCTTTCGTCTTACTTGACTAACATGCAGGTTGACGCCACTTTAGCGGTTCTACAAAAGCGCAAGAGGGCAATCGGATGGACATTGGCAGATATTCCGGGTATAAGCCCCACCTTTTGCATGCATAAGATCATATTGGAGGAGGATGCGGGGCCCTCACTTGAACACCAAAGGCGACTCAACGAAGCTATGCAAGAAGTGGTCAAGAAGGAAGTTATCAAGTGGCTTGACGCCGGTGTGGTGTATCCTATTTCTGACAGCTCATGGACTTCTCCGGTGCAATGCGTACCGAAGAAGGGCTGGATAACTGTGGTAACCAATGCTAACAATGAGTTGATTCCTACTCGGACAGTGACGGGATGGAAAGTTTGTATGGACTATAGAAAGCTTAACAAGGTGACTCGAAAGGATCATTTCCCGTTGCCGTTCCTCGACCAAATGCTTGATCGTCTTGGGGGTCAGTCGTTNTACCGGTTGGTGTTTGGGAAAGCTTGTCATCTTCCGGTGGAATTGGAGCATAAGGCTATGTGGGCCTTGAGAAAATTGAACTTAGAATGGGATGTCGCTGCGAATCTCCGGGTTGAGCAACTCAATGTGCTAGACGAGTTTAGATTTCATGCCTACTCCAACGCGTCCTTGTACAAGGACAAGATGAAGTACCTTCACGATAAGTATGCCCGAGGGAAGGAATTCAAAGTTGGTGACATGGTTCTTCTTTTCAACCCCCGGTTGAGGTTATTCCCGGGAAAGCTTAAGTCTAAGTGGAGTGGTCCTTTTGAAGTTGTTGGTGTAACCCCATTTGGAGCTATTGATCTCAAAAACAAAAATGGTGAAGTTTTCCAGGTCAATGGGCATCGTGTCAAGCATTACTTGGGAAAGTTTGATGACACCTCCGTGGTAGCACTCATTCATTTGAAGTGACTTTGATGGTAACATGCGTCGTGCCGTGACGTTAAATCAGGCGCTTCTTGGGAGACAACCCATGTCTTTTTTCTCTCTTTTTTGATTTCTGTTGTAGATTAGGATTTTTAAGCTAATGGTTTGTGAGATGTTGCAGGAATTGTGATTGAACAAGTGCAAAACAACTGTGCAAAAAAGTGCACAGTCTCTGAACAGTGACCGTGCGGCCGCAATCTCACTTTGTGTGGTCCGCATCGGCCAAAGAAAAATATTGCCAAGTCTCTGAACTGTGTTCACGCGGCCACGTCCCACTTTGTGCGGCCCGCATGGTTCTCATGCGGTCCGCGCGCCTTCGCTGCAGCTACAGGTAAATGGTAAAGTCCCAGTGCGGCCCGCGGTCATGTTTACGCGGCCGCACTGGACGGTAAGTGATGGGCCCCACTGTGTTTCCTATAAATAATCCATTAGGATCTTCATTAGAACTTTTCGCCAAAATTAACCCCTAAGCCCTAAAAGTTACTGTTCACATTCAGAGACCCCTGTTAGTGTTAATATCAAGAGCATTTCTTCGCTTTCCTGATAACATATCTCTCACATTAGTCTTTACTTAGTATTAATTTAAACTTTATACATGTTCCCCTAGTCATAACTTCTTCGTTTTTCTTTTTTGTTCTTCGTCGTTTCATAATTAGGATAGTTTTATATTGTTTTTATTGTTCTTTGAAATGATGGGCATGTTATAAATGAGTAGGGACAAAGTAGGATGCTAAAACGTGAAAGACTTGAGTTTTTTGTAAAACCTTAATTGCCCCTGTAATTAACGCCCAGTGCTGCCGCACCCCCTAATTATGCGGTACGCATGCCTTTTACGCGGCCGCATCATTCTGCTACGCGGTCCGCGTAAATCTTGAACCTAAAGGTTGATTATCCCAGCGCGGCCACATGCCCAGTTTGTGCGGTCCACGCCATGCCCCACGCGGCCGCATCCCATGTTTGCGCGGTCCGCGGGGGTGAGCTTCAGAGGGCACCAGTTTTTAATAGTATGTCCAATGCGGTTGCATAACCAGTTTGTGCGGACCGTGCTGGCCCCCACGCGGCCGCACCCCCTGTTCATGCGGTCCGCATAGTTCCTAATTAGAGAGGGTTCATTCCCTAACTTGGTCAGTGCGGTCCGCATGCCTTGTTTGTGCGGTCCGCACTGCTATCACCTGTTCTCTGTCTATGTTTATGTACTTAAACTCTGCAATTGCCTGAACTAACAATGTTAGAATTATTTGTGTGCAGGAAATGGTTAAACAATGAGGGCGTGGAGTTAAACAACCCGGACAAGGAGCTAACCCCTCCCGGGGAGGTAAAGCAAAATTGAAGAAACTCACTCCCCAACCAAAGCTAAAAACAAGAAAGCATGTGATGAGTGATGAAGAGCAGTCGGGGAGTGAGTACCTCCCCTCCCAAGATGTCTCAACTGATTCGGGGAAAGCCCCCACAGGCCCAGCTAAAGCTCCAACTGTTATACAACCTGAGTCGTCTAAGGGCTCAGAAGCAGGCAGTGCCAAATACTCTACCTCCCCCACAGCTTCATAATCCGGTGAGGGTGCAGAAGATAAAAACAAGAGTGATGAGGAGGTTCCGGACAATGGGGTACTTAGAGTTGGGGGAATTGAAAGAACTAGAAACCCAGTTGTATGGCAGGACAGATTTGTCAGCGAAGTGGCCTTTCATAAATTCCGGGAAGTGTGGCCCAAGAAGAAGGTGATTCCAGAAAGAAGAGTAGTCACCCGGGATTTGTTACCCTACCTTCCCCGAGGTCATGAACAATTTCTTACTAGAGTGGGATGGGATTTCTTTAAAGATGAGATGGTCGATGCAAATGAACATATGGTGAAGAAATTCTACAACAATGTGGCCCACACAAAAGAAGGGTCAATTGCAACCAAAGTGCGGGATAAGAAGATAGTGTTCTCGGGGAAGGCGTTGAACGAGTGTTTGGGTTTCAATGACGAGGATGACTCTCTATATAGAGAGAAGTTAGCGTTGAAAGAGGAAGCTTGTCCTTGGGTGGCACAGTTCTTAGCTCAGCCGGGTACTGTTCCGGAGTGGATTCAGGTGGGGAAGAAA